TGCGGGCCGGGAGCGAGGGGCGCCGGGGGCTGCAGGCCGGGAGCTGCGGGCCGGCGCTGAGGGCTGGGTATCGGGGCTGCGGGCCGGGGGCTGCGGGCCGGCGCTGAGGGCTGGGTAACGGGGCTGCAGTCCGGGAGCTGCGGGCCGGCGCTGAGGGGCGCTGAGGGGCGCCGGGGGCTGGGTATCGGGGCTGCGGGCCGGGGGCTGCGGGCCGGCGCTGAGGGGGCGCCGGGGCTGGGTAACGGGGCTGCGGGCCGGGAGCGAGGGGCGCCGGGGGCTGGGGGCCGGGGCTGCGGGCCGGCGCTGAGGGGCGCCGGGGGCTGGGTAACGGGGCTGCGGGCCGGGAGCTGCGGGCCGGCGCTGAGGGCTGGGTAACGGGGCTGCGGGCCGGGAGCTGCGGGCCGGCGCTGAGGGCTGGGTATCGGGGCTGCGGGCCGGGGGCTGCGGGCCGGCGCTGAGGGCTGGGTAACGGGGCTGCAGTCCGGGAGCTGCGGGCCGGCGCTGAGGGGCGCCGGGGGCTGGGTAACGGGGCTGCGGGCCGGGAGCGAGGGGCGCCGGGGGCTGCGGGCCGGGGGCTGCGGGCCGGTGCTGAGGGCTGGGTATCGGGGCTGCGGGCCGGGAGCGACGGGCGCCGGGGGCTGCAGGCCGGGAGCTGCGGGCCGGCGCTGAGGGCTGGGTATCGGGGCTGCGGGCCGGGAGCTGCGGGCCGGCGCTGAGGGGCGCCGGGGGCTGGGTAACGGAGCTGCGGGCCGGCGCTGAGGGGCGCTGAGGTCTGGGTAACGGGGCTGCGGGCCGGGAGCGACGGGCGCCGGGGGCTGCGGGCCGGGAGCTGCGGGCCGGCGCTGAGGTCTGGGTAACGGGGCTGCGGGCCGGGAGCGAGGGGCGCCGGGGGCTGCGGGCCGGGAGCTGCGGGCCGGCGCTGAGGGCTGGGTAACGGGGCTGCGGGCCGGGAGCTGCGGGCCGGCGCTGAGGGGCGCCGGGGGCTGGGTAACGGGGCTGCGGGCCGGGAGCGAGGGGCGCCGGGGGCTGCGGGCCGGGAGCTGCGGGCCGGCGCTGAGGGGCGCCGGGGGCTGGGTAACGGGGCTGCGGGCCGGGAGCGAGGGGCGCCGGGGGCTGCGGGCCGGGAGCTGCGGGCCGGCGCTGAGGGGCGCCGGGGGCTGGGTAACGGGGCTGCGGGCCGGGAGCGAGGGGCGCCGGGAGCTGCGGGCCGGGAGCTGCGGGCCGGCGCTGAGGGCTGGGTATCGGGGCTGCGGGCCGGGGGCTGCGGGCCGGCGCTGAGGGCTGGGTAACGGGGCTGCGGTCCGGGAGCTGAGGGCTGGCTCTGAGGGGCGCCGGGGGCTGGGTAACGGGGCTGCGGGCCGGGAGCGAGGGGCGCCGGGGGCTGCAGGCCGGGAGCTGCGGGCCGGCGCTGAGGGCTGGGTATCGGGGCTGCGGGCCGGGGGCTGCGGGCCGGCGCTGAGGGCTGGGTAACGGGGCTGCAGTCCGGGAGCTGCGGGCCGGCGCTGAGGGGCGCCGGGGGCTGGGTAACGGGGCTGCGGGCCGGGAGCGAGGGGCGCCGGGGGCTGCGGGCCGGGGGCTGCGGGCCGGTGCTGAGGGCTGGGTATCGGGGCTGCGGGCCGGGGGCTGCGGGCCGGCGCTGAGGGGCACTGAGGGCTGGGTACCGGGGGCTGCGGGCCGGGAGCGAGGGGCGCCGGGGCTGGGTACCGGGGCTGCGGGCCGGGGGCTGCGGGCCGCGCTGAGGGGCGCTGAGGGCTGGGTACCGGGGGCTGCGGGCCGGGAGCGAGGCGCCGGGGCTGGGTACCGGGGGCTGCGGGCCGGGGCTGCGGGCCGGCGCTGAGGGCGCGGGGCTGGGTAGGGGCGCCGGGGCGGGCCGGGGGCGTAGCGGGCTGCGGGCCGGGGCTGCGGGCCGGCGCTGAGGGGCGCCGGGGGCTGGGTAACGGGGCTGCGGGCCGGGGGCTGCGGGCCGGCGCTGAGGGCTGGGTAACGGGGCTGCGGGCCGGGAGCTGCGGGCCGGCGCTGAGGGCTGGGTAACGGGGCTGCGGGCCGGGGGCTGCGGGCCGGCGCTGAGGGCGCTGGGGGCTGGGTACCGGGGCTGCGGGCCGGGGGCGGGGGCGCCGGGGCTGGGTACCGGGGGCTGCGGGCCGGGGCTGCGGGCCGGGAGCTGCGGGCCGGCGCTGAGGGCTGGGTATCGGGGCTGCGGGCCGGGGGCTGCGGGCCGGCGCTGAGGGGCACTGAGGGCTGGGTACCGGGGGCTGCGGGCCGGGAGCGAGGGGCGCCGGGGGCTGGGTACCGGGGGCTGCGGGCCGGGGGCTGCGGGCCGGCGCTGAGGGGCGCCGGGGGCTGGGTATCGGGGCTGCGGGCCGGGGGCTGCGGGCCGGCGCTGAGGGGCACCGCTCAGGCCCGTCTCCCCCCAGGGCGGCGGGTGCCGATTCCTGCGTTACTCCTGCTCGGTGACGTCGCCCCGCAAGGGCTGGAGCCTGATGCACCCCGGGCGCCTGACCCACTTCCACGAGGGGCTGCCCACCACCCGCGGCACCCGCTACATCATGGTGTCCTTCGTCGACCCCTAGCCCTGGCCGGCGCCGCCCCCCCCACCCCCCACCACTCAGGGAATTCCCCCAGCCCCTCCCCTGCTGGGCACTGGGGTCGCTCCCCCTCCCCCAACCCTGGGGGCCCCCCATGTGCCCAGCCTGTCCCCTCGGTCCCCTCCACCCCCTCGGGCCAGGGGGCAGCGGGGGGAAGGCCCCCCCCCGTGGGTCTCGGCTCCCGTGGGGCAGGAGCTGCGCCCTGGGGGCTGGGAGCCGGGGGGGGGGCAGGAGCCTGTGGGGCTGGAGGATCTGGGGGCTGGTGGTGCTGGGGGGGGGAACGTGGCTGCTGTGTATAAAGTGTGTTAAATTATTGGGGTTCCTCCCCCCCATAAATGTGTATTTTTAACCAGAGCCTCCGATGTGTCTCTGCGTCGTGGTGGTCAGTGGGGCTGGGAGCCAGGACTCCTGGGTTCTCTCCCCGGCTCTGGGAGGGGAGTCGGGGGCTGGTGGTTAGAGCAGGGGGGCTGGGGGCTAGGACTCCTGGGTTCGCTCCCCGGCTCTGGGAAGGGAGTGGGGGGCTGGTGGTTAGAGCAGGGGGCCAGGACTCCTGGGTTCTCTCTCTGGCTCTGGGAGGGGAGTGGGGGGCTGGTGGTTAGAGCAGGGGGGCTGGGGGCCAGGACTCCTGGGTTCTCTCCCCGGCTCTGGGAGGGGAGTCGGGGGCTGGTGGTTAGAGCAGGGGGGCTGGGGGCCAGGACTCCTGGGTTCGCTCCCCGGCTCTGGGAGGGGAGTGGGGGGCTGGTGGTTAGAGCAGGGGGCCAGGACTCCTGGGTTCTCTCTCTGGCTCTGGGAGGGGAGTGGGGGGGCTGGTGGTTAGAGCAGGGGGGGCTGGGGGTCAGGACTCCTGGGTTCTCTCCCCGGCTCTGGGAGGGGAGTGGGGGGACTGGTGCTTAGAGCAGGGGCGGCTGGGGGTCAGGACTCCTGGGTTCTCTCCCCGGCTCTGGGAGGGGAGTGTGGGGGCTGGTGGTTAGAGCAGGGGGGGCTGGGGGTCAGGACTCCTGGGTTCTCTCCCCGAGCTCTGGGAGGGGAGTGGGGGGGCTGGTGGTTAGAGCAGGGGGGGCTGGGGGTCAGGACTCCTGGGTTCTCTCCCCAGCTCTGGGAGGCGAGTGGGCGCTGGTGATGAGAGCCAGGGGGGGCTGGGAGCCCGGACTCCTGGGTTCTCTCCCCGGCTCTGGATGGGTTGGAGGGGGGGGGCTGCACCCCGAGGGGCTAATACCCCAGCTCTCATGTGGAACGTGCTTCGGGGGGAGGGGCGCTCGGGGTGCCGGCCGCCCGCCGTGGGGCGCGCCCGGTGCCAGGGCCGAGCCAGGCGCCCACCAGGCCGGAAACCGTGGGGGGGCAGTTGACAGCTGGAGCGTAAGTCCCTGCCCAGCATCTGTGGGGTGGGGGGGAGGGGGTGGTCTGTGACGCAGCCCCCCCAGGAGAAAGCATGTGACCCCCCAAAACGCCTTCCCCCCACACACACACACGGCGCCCCCCCCATGTCAATCATTGGGCCACACGTTCCTTTCACTTTCTGTTTATAAAAACCAGCCCTGGCATGACACCGTCCCCCCCCCCGAGCCCTAATAAATTAATACGGGGGGGGGGCACCAGCCAGGCCAAGAAACAGCAGCTGAACCCGCCAGCCCCACGCTGCCCCCCATGCCCGGATCCCTGCTGAGAGCTGCCAGGGAGGGGCCGGGCTGGGGGGGGGGGGGTCACAGCTCCAGGGACGCGTGGTGGAGGGGTGCTGGTTCACGGAGGGGGGGGGCCAGCTGAGGTAGCTTGTCCTGGAGCCGCCCCCCTCCAACACCGCTGGCTGCGGGTAGAGGTGGGGGGCCCTGGCCTGCACCCCCTCCCCAACTTAGCCCAATATCCCGGGCCCGGCGGATCAGGGCACATCCCGGTCCGGGCCCTGGCGGATCAAGGCGCGTCCGGGCCCCCATGGATCAGGGCACGTCCCGTGTCCGGCCCTGGCGGATCAGGGCGCGGCCGGTCCGGCCCCGGCGGATCAGGGCACGTCCCGTGTCCGGCCCTGGTGGATCAGGGCGCGGGGCCCGGCCCGGCTCAGGTGGATCAGGGCGCGGGGCCCGGCCCGGCTCAGGTGGATCAGGGCGCGGCGGTCCGGCCCGGTCGGGCACTCCGGTCGGATCAGGGCGCAGGGCCCGGCCCGGTCCGCTGTCAGGCGCACCGCCGGACCCGCGGGCGCAGCCCCGGCGGATCAGGGCGCGGGGCCCCGGCGGATCAGGGCACGTCCTGGTCACCCTGTCGCCCCGCGATCAGGCGCCCGGCGATCACGTCCCGTGTCCGGCTCAGGTGGATCAGGGCGCGGGGCCCGGCCCGGCTCAGGTGGATCAGGGCGCGGGGCCCGGCCCGGCTCAGGTGGATCAGGGCGCGGGGCCCGGATCAGGGCACGTCCCGTGTCCAGCTCAGGTGGATCAGGGCGCGGGGCCCGGCCCGGCTCAGGTGGAGCCGGCCTTGGCGGCGGCGAGGCGGCTGACCTGCAGCTGGCGGGCGGCCTGGAGGAGCCGGTGTCTCTCACGCAGGTTACGCCGGCGGACGTGCTCGTTGGTGATCTCTTGCACGTGGCTGGCCGGGAACCAGCCCTTGCGCCCGTCGGCCAGTCGTTGGCCCTGGCACCAGCCTGCCGGGGCGACGGGAGGGGTGAGCGCGGCCGGCCCGGGGCACCGCCAACGAGCCTGCCCTCGGCGCCCTCCCGCCACGGGGGGAAAAGACCCACGCCAGCGCCTGGGGGAGGGGCTGTGGATTCACGGGGCGGGGGGGGGGACACAGCGGTGGGGCAAGAGGGCCCAGGGATTTGGGGCCCACAGGGGGGAGGGTTAGGGGGGACCCCAATGGGTGGGGGATCGGGGGGGCAAAGCATGGAGCAAGGGGAGCCAGCAGGTGCCTGGGTTTGATCCAGCTCCTTCCACCGTGGGGCAGCACTGGGGCTCCCGGCCTGGGCACTGGGCTCTGGGGGGGGCTGCACCCCGCAGCGACGCCCCCCCCCCCCATCCCCGGCGCTCACCCTCGCTCGTTTTCCGCAGCACGTTGACCACGTCGGCCGGCTCCAGGCTCAGCTCATCGGCCTGCCTGGCCACGTAGGGCTCCACGCACTGCACCTGGGGGCAGTCTGGGGGGAGAGGGGGGCAGGTGAGACCCCTGCCCCCCTAGAGCCAGGAGAGAACCCAGGAGTCCTGGCTCCCAGCCCCCCTGCTCTAACCCACCAGCCCCCACTCCCCTCCCAGAGCCAGGGAGAGAACCCAGGCGTCCTGGCTCCGAGGCCCCCCCCCCACTCCAACCACTAGACCCTCCTCCCCTCCCAGAGCCGGGTAGGACCCAGGCGTCCGGGCGGCAAGTACCCACCCCAGTCCTCGTAGATGATCTCCTGGGGCAGGCTGGGGGGGGCGCCGTGCTGGGGGAAGGCCTCCATCCATCGGTGCATGTCCGACCTGGGGGGGGGTAAGGGGGAGGAAGACTGTGAAAGGGGGAGCGCCATTGCCCCCCCCATCCTCGGTGTCTGTGGGGGGGTTTCCCGTCCTTACACCCACCTCCCCTCCCCAAAACAGCTACAGGGCCCCCTCAGGGACAGGGAGGGGGGGGCCCCCCAACCCCCCCCCCGGGACTCCCCCTTGGCCTCCAGCCCCGATCCCTGCTCCCCCGGGGCCCCTCCACCTCCCCCGGCCCCCCCGCGGCCCCCCACTCACTGGCTGGGGGCCCGGCAGAGACGCTCGCAGGCTTGGCCCCGGTGGTTCTCCAGCAGGGTGAGGTAAAAGGCCTGGCCCAGGCCGGGCGCTGGGGGGGGCTGCCCCACCCCCTGCACCGAGACCAGCGAGCGGTGCCCGTAATCCCGCACCACGAAGCGCCCCGTGCTGGGGGGGGACACGGGGCGTCAGGGTGCGGCCGGAGCCCCCCCAGCCCCTGCCCAAACCAGCCCCCCTGCCTGGAGCCCCCCAGTCCCTGCCCAAACCAGCCCCCCTGCCTCGAGCCCCCCCCCAGCCCCTGCCCAAACCAGCCCCCCTGCCTCGAGCCCCCCAGTCCCTGCCCAAACCAGCCCCCCTCCTCGCCCCCCCCCCGCCCAAACCACCCCCTGCCCCCCCCCAGCCCCCACGCCCCCCAACCAGCCCCCTGCCTGGAACCCCCCCACAGCCCCCACAGCCCCTGCCCAAACCAGCCCCCCTGCCTCGAGCCCCCCAGCCCCTGCCCAAACCAGCCCCCCTGCCCCCCAGTCCCTGCCCCCAGCCCCCCTCCCCCCCCAGTTCCTGCCCAAACCAGTTCCCCTGGCTGGAACCCCCCCCCCCCACAGCCCCCACAGCCCCTGCCCAAACCAGCCCCCCCCCCCACGCCCCCCCCCCCTGCCCCCCCCCCCCTCCCCCCCCCCCCCCGCCCACCAGCCCCCCGGCCCCACCTCTTGCGGCGGGTGAGCAGCAGCAGGTCGCTGAAGAGGAAGAGGTAGATGGGCACCGTCCGGGGCTTGGTGCCGAACAGGGACCCCCGGGGCAGCACCTCGGCCAGGCCCCCCTGCTTCTCCAGCCGCCGGCTCTGCGAGACGATGGGCACCGCCTGGGGGGCGGGGGGGTCAGCGCCGCCGGGGGAGGGGCGGGACCCCCAACAGACGGGGGGGGGGGCAGAGACGCCGGGGGAGGGGCCCGGGGGGGCGGGACCCCCAACAGACGGTGGGGGGGGGGGTCAGAGATGCCAGGGGAGGGGCAGGACCCCCAACAGACGGCGGGGGGGCAGAGACGCCGGGGGAGGGGCAGGACCCCCAACAGACGGCGGGGGGGAGGGGAGAGACGCCGGGAGAGGGGCAGGACCCCCAGCACAGGGCGGGGAGGGGGCAGAGACGCTGGGGGAGGGGCAGGACCCCCAAGAGACGGCGGGGGGGGCAGAGACGCCCGGGGGGGGAGGGGCAGGACCCCCAGCACACGGCGGGGGGGGGGCAGAGACGCCAGGGGAGGGGCGGGACCCCCAGCACACGGCGGGGGGGGGAGAGGGGCGGGACCCCCAGCACATGGCGGGGGGACAGAGACCCCAGGGGGCAGCACCCCCAGCATGTGGGCGGGGGCAGCACCAGACCCATGGGGGGGCAGGACCCCCGGGCCCACACCGGGGATGGGGGCGAGTGCGGGCCACCGTCCATGCCCCGCGGGCGTCCGGGGGGGGCGCGAGCTGCCAGGAGCCTGGCCACAGGCCCAGACTCCGAGGTGCAGGGAGGGCTTGGGGGGCCGGGGGGGGCTCGGGGGGCACCTTGAGCTGGTCGAAGTCGATGCGCCCGGCGATCTCGATGAGCTCCTCCGTCTGCCGCATGCGCCCCACCTCCGAGTTGCACTCCTCAATGATCTGGGGGGCAGAGGGGGGCGAGTGAGGGGGGCAGCCCCCCAGCCCCCCATCACCACCCCCCCCAGCCTCTCCCCCCCCCCCGACTCACCTGGGAGACGCAGGCCAGTGCGTCCAGCGCGTTTCGCTCCCGCTCCGATCCCTCCTCCGCCCGGTGCAGGATGTTCTGGGGCACAGGGGGGACCCGGGTGAGCCGGGGAGAGAACCCAGGCGTCCTGGCTCCCAGCCCCGCCCTGCTCTCACCCAGCAGCCCCCACGCCCCTCCCAGAGCCGGGGAGAGAACCCAGGAGTCCTGACCCCCAGCCCCCCCTGTTCTAAGCACCAGGCCCCCCACGCCCCTCCCAGAGCCGGGGAGAGAACCCAGGAGTCCTGACCCCCAGCCCCCCCTGTTCCAACCACCAGGCCCCCCACGCCCCTCCCAGAGCCGGGGAGAGAACCCAGGAGTCCTGACCCCCAGCCCCCCCTGTTCTAAGCACCAGGCCCCCCACGCCCCTCCCAGAGCCGGGGAGAGAACCCAGGAGTCCTGACTCCCAGCCCCCCCTGTTCTAAGCACCAGGCCCCCCACGCCCCTCCCAGAGCCGGGAGAGAACCCAGGAGTCCTGACTCCCAGCCCCCCCTGTTCTAACCAGCAGGCCCCCCACGCCCCTCCCAGAGCCAGGCAGAGAACCCAGGAGTCCTGACCCCCAGGCCCCCCCTGTTCTAAGCACCAGGCCCCCCACGCCCCTCCCAGAGCCGGGGAGAGAACCCAGGAGTCCTGACCCCCAGCCCCCCCTGTTCTAACCACCAGGCCCCCCAAGCCCCTCCCAGAGCCGGGGAGAGAACCCAGGAGTCCTGACCCGCAGCCCCCCTGTTCTAAGCACCAGGCCCCCCACGCCCCTCCCAGAGCCAGGCAGAGAACCCAGGAGTCCTGACCCCCAGGCCCCCCTGTTCTAAGCAGCAGGCCCCCCCACGCCCCTCCCAGAGCCGGGGAGAGAACCCAGGAGTCCTGAACCCCAGCCCCCCTGTTCTAACCACCAGGCCCCCCAAGCCCCTCCCAGAGCCGGGGAGAGAACCCAGGAGTCCTGACCCGCAGCCCCCCCTGTTCTAAGCACCAGGTCCCCCACGCCCCTCCCAGAGCCAGGGAGAGAACCCAGGAGTCCTGACCCCCCAGCCCCCCCCTGTTCTAAGCACCAGGCCCCCCACGCCCCTCCCAGAGCCGGGAGAGAACCCAGGAGTCCTGACCCCCAGCCCCCCTGTTCTAAGCACCAGGCCCCCCACGCCCCTCCCAGAGCCGGGAGAGAACCCAGGAGTCCTGACCCCCAGCCCCCCCCTGTTCTAAGCACCAGGCCCCCCACGCCCCTCCCAGAGCCGGGGAGAGAACCCAGGAGTCCTGACTCCCAGCCCCCCTGTTCTAAGCACCACGCCCCCCTCCCCCTCCCAGAGCCGGGGAGAGAACCCAGGCGTCCTGGCTCCCAGCCCCGCCCTGCTCTCACCCAGCAGCCCCCACACCCCTCCCAGAGCCGGGGAGAGAACCCAGGAGTCCTGACCCCCGGCCCCCCCTGTTCTAAGCACCAGGCCCCCCACGCCCCTCCCAGAGCCGGGGAGAGAACCCAGGAGTCCTGACCCCCAGCCCCCCCTGTTCTAAGCACCAGGCCCCCCACGCCCCTCCCAGAGCCAGGCAGAGAACCCAGGAGTCCTGACCCGCAGCCCCTGCTCTGGGCCGTGGGGCGCAGGCTGTCCCGGACGCCGGGGTCCCTACCTCCAGGAGCATCTTGAGGCGGGTGATGCGCTGGAAGGGCAGCAGCAGGAAGGAGAGGAGGGGGAGGCCTTGGCACAGGGGGTGCTCCTGCAGCCGGCCCAGCGCCGCCCCGAAGGGCCCGTTTCGCTCCCTGCGCCGGGGGGGGAGAGGGGTGAGACGGGGCCGGCCCCCCAAGTCCCAGCCAGGGCGCCCGGGCCTCGGCCCGACAACCACCCCGCCCCCGGCCTCTGTGCCCCCGTCCCCCTCCCCCTCGGCCCCCCATACGCCTCTCCTGTCGCCCCCGTCCCTGTCCCCCCTGGCCCCACCCCATGGTTCCGCCCCCACGGCCCAGCGCCCCGCCCCTGTCTCCCATGGCCCCGCCCCCTCTCCCCATGGCCCCGCCCCCATTCCCCATAGCCCGACCCCTCTTCCCATCGCCCCGCCCCCGTCTCCCATGGCCCCGCCCCCGTCTCCCATGGCCCCGCCCCCATTCCACATAGCCCCGCCCCTCTTCCCATCGCCCCGCCCCCGTCTCCCATGGCCCCACCCCCTCTCCCGATGGCCCCGCCCCCATTCCCCATAGCCCGACCCCCTCTTCCCATCGCCCCGCCCCCATCTCCCATGGCCCCACCCCCTCTCCCCATGGCCCCACCCCCATTCCCCATAGCCCCGCCCCTCTTCCCATCGCCCCGCCCCCGTCTCCCATGGCCCCGCCCCCATTCCCCATAGCCCCGCCCCTCTTCCCATCGCCCCGCCCCCGTCTCCCATGGCCCCGCCCCCATTCCCCATAGCCCCGCCCCTCTTCCCATCGCCCCGCCCCCGTCTCCCGTGGCCCCGCCCCCTCTCCCCGTGGCCCCGCCCGCACATGAGGGCGCTGTACTCCTTCTCCTGGTAGGGCTGGTTGCGGACGTAGTCCACGTAGGCGGGGAAGTCGCGCCGGGCGTGGGCGGCCACCACGTCGCTCACGTCGCGGATCTGCAGGCTCTCGGCCACGCGTCCCTCCAGCGCCGCCAGGAACCTGCCGCGGGCGGGGGGGCATCAGGGCCGGGGGGCGGGCTGGAGGGTCTGGGGGGGCTGTGGGTGGAACTGGAGGGGGTCCGGGGGGGACATGAGGGGACATGCTGGGGGGGACAGGCTGGGGATACATGGGGGGGCAAGCCAGGGGACATGCCGTGGGGCACACCAGGGTATGGGGGGGCAGGCCCGAGGCACATGGGGGGACAGGCTAGAGGGAACGTGGGGGCAGGGGGCATGCCGTGGGGCACGCAGGGGGCAGGGAGCAGGCCGTGGGGAACGCCAGGGGGCACGCCAGGGGGCAGGCGGGGGACCGGGGGCAGGCGAGGGGCCAGGGGGAAGGCGGGGGGCCGGCGGGGGACACGTGGGGGGCACGCGGGGGAGCAGGTGGGGGACCAGGGGCCGGCGGGGGGGCACGCGGGGGACCAGGGGCAGGTGGGGAGCAGGCGGGGGGACCAGGGGGCCGGCGGGGGGGCATGGGGCAGGCGGGGGACCAGGGGCCGGCGGGGGGCCCGGGGGAAGGCGGGGGGCAGGCAGGGGGGCTCGCGGGGGCCGGCGGGGGGGCCCGGGGAAGGCGGGGGCAGGCAGGGGGCTCGCGGGGGGGCCGGCGGGGGGCCCGGGAGAAGGCGGGGGGCAGGCAGGGGCAGGCAGGGGCCGGCGGGGGGGCCGGCGGGGGGGCCAGGGGGAAGGCGGGGGGCCGGCGGGGGTCAGGCGGGGGGCCGGGGGGACACGCGGGGACCAGGGGCCGGCGGGGGGCAGGTGGGGAGCAGGCGGGGGACCAGGGGCCGGCGGGGGGCCAGGGGGAAGGCGGGGGACCAGGGGCCGGCGGGGGGGCACGCGGGGGTCCGGCGGGGGGGCACACGGGGGACCAGGAGCCGGCGGGGGGCCCGGGGGAAGGCGGGGGGCCCGGGGGAAGGCGGGGGGCCGGCGGGGGTCAGGCGGGGGGCCCGGGGGGAAGGCGGGGGGCAGGCAGGGGCTCGCGGGGGGCCGGCAGGGGGCCCGGGGGAAGGCGGGGGGGCACGCGGGGGTCCGGCGGGGGGGCACGCGGGGGACCAGGTGTGACGAAGTGGGCCTGTTCTTAATGTTTCCTCTGAATAGTGTGGGGGGTGCCTCAGTTTCCCCTATGCAGTTCTTAAGTATCTAGGGGGTGGAGTAAGGGTGTATGATCATTGCAGAGCCCTAGAGGGCAGGTGTGTGCAGGGGTCTGGACACAGAGAATGGCCGACACCCTGTTTCCTGGCAACTGATGGCCTGGGCCCTTCCCCCCCTGCAAGGTGAGAGCTGAAGGGTTGGAGAACAAAGGAATCAGGTGACCACCTGGCCCGGGAAAGGAACAAAGCCCAGAGGAGGAGGGGCTGGAGGGGGTTTTCAGTTTGGGGCTGGCTGGGACATGGAGTGAAGTGCAGACGTGGTTGTCTGGCTCACTGCCCCCCAGAATGGACCCAGCTGAGGGGTCCTGTTCTCTGCACCTGCAAGCTCTGTTTTAGACCATGTTCCTGTAGTCTAATAAACCTTCTGTTTTACTGGCTGGCTGAGAGTCACGTCTGACTGCGGAGTTGGGGGGCAGGACCCTCTGGCTTCCCCAGGAGCCCCGCCTGAGCGGACTCGCTGGGGGGAAGCGCACGGTGGGGCAGAGGATGCTGAATGCTCCGAGGTCAGACCCAGGAAGGTGGAAGCTGTGTGAGCTGCGTGTCCTGAAGACAGGCTGCTCACAGAAAGGCGACTACCCCAGAGTCCTGACTGGCTTCATGGGGAGCAGTTCCAGAGCATCGCCCAGGGACTCCGTGACAACTGGTGGCAGCGGTGGGATGTACTGCACCCCGTGGATGGTGCTTCCTGCAGTAAGTGACTGGGGAGCAGTAACACGAAGGGGGATTGCCGAGGACCAGGCCTGCTGAAGGCTCAGAGAGGAGCGGTTTCGGGGGGGCGGTTAACCCCTGGGAGTGTGTGACCAGCGAGAAGGATTGTGCAGTAACAGGGTTCCCCTGGGGACTGCAGCGAGCAGTCCAAGGGGCGGAGGAGTCTGCAGCTCGACCCTGGCAAAGAGGTGGTGACCTCGAGAAGGGCTGGCACACTAGGGGTTCTCCCTGGAAACCGTGGGGAGCTGAGAGCACACGGGCCTGTGAGTCCACAACAACTTGGGAGGAGCGGAGTGATGGCCTGTCACCGTCTCCTTAAGAAGGACATTGTAACCCTGTGCAGAAAGAGAGGGTTGAGCGTTGGAAAGTTCACCAAAGCAGAGTTAATCGTGCAGCTGGAGGAGGATGATCGCTCTAAGGAACAGATTCCTGACCCCAACTGGGGCTATAGCAGGATCTGGGAGCAGCTGGAGCGGGAGCCAGGCATCGCCAAGACTCCTGTCCCCGACCAGACGGGGGTCTTCACGATCGGGTTCCCCATCGGGGGATCGAGACGGACGGGATTGGAGCGGAGTCTGAGAGAGCAAGAGGACCGTGGGAGACAGCGAGAGCCCGAGAAAGAGCTGCAGAAGCAGCAGCAGGATGAACTGGCGGTGGTGGGGCGGAGAGGCCGAGGGGACCTCCCCGGGGTGAGTGGGGATAGATCCCGGGGGGCCAGTTCCGCAGGGAACCTCGAGACTAAATTGCTGCCCCTAGTTAAGGGGGGGGGTGTGGATGCCCACCTCACTGCCTTTGAGCAGGCTGGAGATCTGAACCAGGGGGACCCTGCGGAAAACCCCGGTGTCTAGCTCCCTTGCTGGGTCCCAAGGCCACAGACTCCATCAGCCAGATGGGTGGGGAGGTGGACAGGCTCCCACTCCTGACCCCAACCTATATGTCTGTGTGGAGTTCCCTGGGGTCAGGCCCCTCGGACCCCCAGTGGGAGCGGAAGGGGATGGTCAATGGGGAGACATTCCTGGGGTGGCGAGATCCTGGGACAGAGAGAACTGGTGTCAGACCCTGGGTGGTGCAGCCTCAGAGGCTGAGGGCCTGTGTGAGCTGGGTGAGGGTCCCAGGGACGAAGCCCCTCGCCCTGCCTATGGCCCAGATCCCTGTGCAGACCCAGGAGGGGTGGGGCTGGCTGGCCGTTGGGGTGCCCCAGGACACCAGCTGCGAGACCCTGTTGTGGGGTGACTGTGTCTCTTTGGGACAGGATCCAGGCCCTGCTCCTGTAACTGCCGAGGGTTTGAATTTGAATCCAGGGAACCAATCGGTGGAGAGGGAAATGGTCAGTGAAAATGCAGATGACCTGGCTGGCAGCAGGGAGGAGCCGCTAGGCTCAGGCTACCTGCCTGCCTGTAACCAGACCCCTGGGACTCGGTGGGACAGAGAGATGCTCCCTGCCCCCTTGCACACCAGACTGGGGACTCTCGCTGGCTCTGATGCAGTGAGGAAAGCAGTGGCCTGCCCCCACTGGGACAGCAAGGGCAGCGCTGAGCACAGTGGGAGCTGAGACCCCAGCTGAGTGGGGGGAGACACAGGCAGGGCAGGGGATCTGTGGGGAGTGGCAAGGTGCTTGGTAAGGGAAGTTTGGATGAGCCTAGGCAGCCTTGTGAGCTGATGGCTGTGTCCAGTCAGCAGGGTGGGAAGGCGAGGAGAGTGGAAGATGAGAGTCCCTGGACCTTACCTGTTAGCTGGGTGGAGAATTGGGACAGTGAAGGAAATGGGTCTCTGTCTGTCAGGGGTATTGACTTGCCTATGGAGGGAGCTACCCTGATCTCCAAGCAGTTGTCTGTGACCAGCCTTGTGTGCTGGGACAAAGGGAATGAGATCCCAACCTGTGTGTCTGGTAAAGGAGAAAGTGTGTCCGGCTCTTCTTGGTCTGTGGAGCAGACAGAAGGGGCCTTTCAGCCTGTGATGGTTGAGGGTCATGCAGTTGTCTCAGAGCTGGTTCTGGATTCAGCTAAAGCCCAGGAAGGGAAGGGTCCTAAGTTTCTGTCTGCTCGGGAGAATGGCCCTGTAACTAGGTCGCATCCAGTTAGGGTCTATGTAAAATCCCCGAGACCAGACAATTCTGGTGCTTGTATTTTGCCTGTTGCTAGTGTGTTGTTGGAAAGGGTGTAGCAACTCTGTCTAATCAGGGTGAGATCCTAGCCAGGGCACAAGGAGAGCAGGAAGGTGATGTGATTGTGGAACCTACTGAGGGTGTGGAAACCTGTAGCAAGAAGGAAAAGATTCCTGAACTTGTGTGTGGCAAAGGGAAGGAGAATGCTTCTAACCTTTTATCTAGGAAGTCTGTAAGTTTGCATGAAAGGGAATTGTGTAGGAATCCGCCTGATGGGCCAGAGGTGATTCTGGATGTAAGGGAGACCCAGAAAGAGTCTGTAGTTGCTCAGGAAAGTGTTCCCCTAGAGCAAGCCCTAGGTAAAGAGGGTAAGAGCAGAATTTCTGGGAGGGGGTGAATTGTTGCATAGAAAAGCCCTCGGGAAAGGAATCCTCATGGAGTCTTTGCAAGCAGTTTACTGCCACTGAAGGGTGTGAAAGTGATTTAATCAAGAAAGTTTCAGTTCCTAACAGCCAGAAATTTTCTGTTGTGAATGGATCCACTGACTTTCCTGTTGAAAGATCCAGTGTGGAGAGCTTTGAGAAGGTCTCAGATGGAGTGAAAGCTATTAAGAAAGGTATACCGTCCTATAACCAAGTGGCTGTGTTTGGCCAGCTTGTTGGGGAGACAAGGTTGTTGGGAAAGGGATGTCTCCATGCTAGTTCTGTAAGTGAACAGTATGTGGCCCAGGTCAAGATGGGGGCCCTTAACCAAGAGAGCCCGAATTGCAGCCCTCCAGACTGGAGCTCTGGGAGAAAACCCAATCCCAGTTTGACCCCCTGGGGGTTTTGGGGTGGCCAAAGGGCATGGGCTGCAGAAACCTTCCCACATGCAGCCTGCTAGTGCTATCGACCACCCCCGACCTAAGGGAGGGGCGTGGAAACTGGAAGGGCCTGGTGTAACTCCTACCAAGGAACGGGAGAGATGCTGGGGCATCCATGGGAACATTGGTGGCTTCAAACTTCCCCAGGTCACCGGGTAAAGTGACCCCGCTCAGTTCGATCTCGAAGGGGGGAGAGATGTGACGAAGTGGGCCTGTTCTTAATGTTTCCTCTGAATAGTGTGGGGGTGCCTCAGTTTCCCCTATGCAGTTCTTAAGTATCTAGGTGGTGGGGTAAGGGTGTATGATCATTGCAGAGCCCTAGAGGGCAGGTGTGTGCAGGGATCTGGACACAGAGAATGGCCGACACCCTGTTTCCTGGCAACTGATGGCCTGGGCCCTTCCCCCCCTGCAAGGTGAGAGCTGAAGGGTTGGAGAACAAAGGAATCAGGTGACCACCTGGCCCGGGAAAGGAACAAAGCCCAGAGGAGGAGGGGCTGGAGGGGTTTTCAGTTTGGGGCTGGCTGGGACATGGAGTGAAGTGCAGACGTGGTTATCTGGCTCACTGCCCCCCAGAATGGACCCAGCTGAGGGGTCCCGTTCTCTGCACCTGCAAGCTCTGTTTTAGACCATGTTCCTGTCGTCTAATAAACCTTCTGTTTTACTGGCTGGCTGAGAGTCACGTCTGACTGCGGAGTTGGGGTGCAGGACCCTCTGGCTTCCCCAGGAGCACCGCCTGAGCGGACTCGCTGGGGGAAGCACACGGAGAGGCAGAGGATGCTGAATGCTCCGAGGTCAGACCCAGGAAGGTGGAAGCTGTGTGAGCTGTGTGTCCTGAAGACAGTCTGCTCACAGAAAGGCGACTACCCCAGAGTCCTGACTGGCTTCATGGGGAGCAGTTCCAGAGCATCGCCCAGGGACTCCGTGACACCAGGGGCAGGTGGGGAGCAGGCGGGGGACCAGGGGCTGGCGGGGGCCGGCGGGGGGCCAGGGGGACATGCGGGGGACCAGGCGCTGGCGGGGGGCCAGGGGGAAGGTGGGGGACCAGGGGCCGGCGGGGGGGCACGCAGGGGTCCGGCGGGGGGGCACGCGGGGGACCAGGGGCCGGCGGGGGGCAGGTGGGGAGCAGGTGGGGGACCAGGGGCCGGCAGGGGGCCAGGGGGAAGGCGGGGGGCCGGCGGGGGTCAGGCGGGGGGCCCGGGGGAAGGCGGGGGGCAGGCAGGGGCTCGCGGGGGCTGGCGGGGGGGCCCGGGGGAAGGCAGGGGGCAGGCAGGGGCCGGGCGGGGGGGCCGGCGGGGGGCCAGGGGGACACGCGGGGGACCAGGCGCTGGCGGGGGGCCAGGGGGGAAGGTGGGGGACCAGGGGCCGGCGGGGGGGCACGCAGGGGTCCGGCGGGGGGGGCACGCGGGGGACCAGGGGCCGGCGGGGGGCAGGTGGGGAGCAGGTGGGGGACCAGGGGCCGGCAGGGGGCCAGGGGGGAGGCGGGGGCCGGGCGGGGGGCGGGGGCCGGGGGGGGGGGGCCCGGGGGAAGGCGGGGGGCAGGCAGGGGCTCGCGGGGGCCGGCGGGGGCCCGGGGAAGGCGGGGGGGCACGCGGGGGTCCGGGGGGGGGGGGGGGACCAGCGGGGGACCAGGAGGCGGCGGGGGCCCGGGGGAAGGCGGGGGGCAGGCAGGGGCTCGCGGGGGGCCGGCGGGGGGCCCGGGGGAAGGCGGGGGGCAGGCAGGGGCCGGCGGGGGTCAGGCGGGGGCCCAGGGGGAGCAGGCGGGGGGCCGGGGGGGGGGGCAGGGGGGGGGGCCGGGGGAAGGCGGGGGCCCGGGGGAAGGCGGGGGTCAGGCGGGGGGCCCGGGGGAGGCGGGGGAAGGCGGAGGGCCGGCGGGGGTCAGGGGGGGGGGGGCCCGGGGGAAGGCGGGGGGCAGGCAGGGGCCGGCGGGGGCAGGCCTGACCTGGCGCTGATCTCCTTGACCCGCAGGACGCTGGAGAACAGGGCCTGGCGCTCCCGGGGCGCCAGGGTCTCGCCCAGCTCCCGCGAGCCCACGAAGTGCTCGGCCAGCAGCCGCAGCGAGCGCTGGTAGGAGGCCTCCGACGTCAGCACCTCGAACAGGCTCTGCCGGGACAGGCGGGGGTCAGGCCGGGGGCCCCGGGGGGCGCGCGGGGTCCCCGGGCCCCTCCCCTGGCCTCGCCGTCGCTCGGGAGCCCGGGGCCTGGCGGGGAGGCCGGGGGCAGAGGGGACCGGGGGGCACGGCGGGGGGCGGGAAGGGGAACTGGGGGACACAGCGTGGGGGGCAGGGGGCACAGCCAGTGGGGCGTGGCAGGGGAACCGGGGGGCAAGGTGCTGGGGGGGCAGGAGGAAGCGGGGGGACATGGCGCGGGGGGCAGGGGAATTGGGGGGCCAGGAGGAACCAGGGGACATGGCGCTGGGGGGCAGGGGAATTGGGGGGGCAGGAGGAAGTGGGGGACATGGCGCTGGGGGGGCAGGGGAATTGAGGGGCAGGGGAATCAAGGGGGCAGGAGGAACCAGGGGACATGGCGCTGGGGGGGCAGGGGAATCGGGGGGCAGGAGGAAGTGGGGGACATGGCGCTGGGGGGACAGGGGAATCGGGGGGGCAGGAGGAAGCGGGGGACATGGCGCTGGGGGGCAGGGGGAATCGGGGGGGCAGGAGGAAGTGGGGGACATGGTGCTGGGGGAACAGGGGAATTGGGGGGCAGGGGAATGGAGGGCAGGAGGAAGCGGGGGACATGGCACTGGGGGGGGCAGGGGGAATCGGGGGGCAGGAGGAAGCGGGGGACATGGCGCTGGGGGGGCAGGGGAATTGGGGGGGCAGTAGGAACCGGGGGACATGGTGCTGGGGGGCAGGGGAATTGGGGGGCAGGGGAATGGAGGGCAGGAGGAAGCGGGGGACATGGCACTGGGGGGGCAGGGGAATCGGGGGCAGGAGGAAGCGGGGGACATGGTGCTGGGGGGGGCAGGGGAATTGGGAGGCCAGGAGGAACCAGGGGACATGGCGCTGGGGGGGACAGGGGAATTGGGGGGGCAGGGGAATGGGGGGCAGGAGGAAGTGGGGGACATGGCGCTGGGGAGGCAGGGGAATTGGGGGCCAGGAGGAACCAGGGGACATGGCGCTGGGGGGACAGGGGAATTGGGGGGGCAGGGGAATGGGGGGCAGGAGGAAGCGGGGGACATGGTGCTGGGGGGGCAGGGGAATTGGGGGGGCCAGGAGGAACCAGGGGACATGGCGCTGGGGGGACAGGGGAATTGGGGGGCAGGGGAATGGGGGGCAGGAGGAAGTGGGGGACATGGCGCTGGGGAGGCAGGGGAATTGGGGGGCAGGAGGAAGCGGGGGACATGGCACTGGGGGGGCAGGGGAATCGGGGGGCAGGAGGAAGCGGGGGACATGGCGCTGGGGGGGGCAGGGGAATGGAGGGCAGGAGGAAGCGGGGGGACATGGTGCTGGGGGGGCAGGGGAATTGGGGGGCAGGGGAATGGGGGGCAGGAGGAAGCGGGGGATATGGCGCTGGGGGGGCAGGGGAATTGGGGGCCAGGAGGAACCGGGGGACATGGCGCTGGGGGGGCAGGGGAATTGGGGGGCAGGAGGAAGTGGGGGACATGGCGCTGGGGGGGCAGGGGAATCGGGGGCAGGAGGAAGTGGGGGACATGGCGCTGGGGGGCAGGGGAATCGGGGGGCAGGAGGAAGCGGGGGACATGGCGCTGGGGGGGCAGGGGAATTGGGGGGCAGGAGGAACTGGGGGACATGGCGCTGGGGGGGCAGGGGAATTGGAGGGCAGGAGGAAGCGGGGGACATGGCACTGGGGGGGGCAGGGGAATCGGGGGGCAGGAGGAAGCGGGGGACATGGCGCTGGGGGGGGCAGGGGAATTGGGGGGCAGTAGGAACCGGGGGACATGGTGCTGGGGGAACAGGGGAATTGGGGGGGCAGGGGAATGGAGGGCAGGAGGAAGCGGGGGACATGGCACTGGGGGGCAGGGGAATGGGGGGCAGGAGGAAGCGGGGGACATGGTGCTGGGGGGCAGGGGAATTGGGAGGCCAGGAGGAACCAGGGGACATGGCGCTGGGGGGACAGGGGAATTGGGGGGGCAGGGGAATGGGGGGCAGGAGGAAGCGGGGGACATGGTGATGGGGGGGCAGGGGAATTGGGGGGCCAGGAGGAACCAGGGGACATGGCGCTGGGGGGACAGGGGAATTGGGGGGGCAGGGGAATGGGGGGCAGGAGGAAGTGGGGGACATGGCGCTGGGGAGGCAGGGGAATTGGGGGGCCAGGAGGAACCAGGGGACATGGCGCTGGGGGGACAGGGGAATTGGGGGGCAGGGGAATGGGGGGCAGGAGGAAGCGGGGGGACATGGTGCTGGGGGGGCAGGGGAATTGGGGGGCCAGGAGGAACCGGGGGACATGGCGCTGGGGGGACAGGGGAATTGGGGGGGCAGGGGAATGGGGGGCAGGAGGAAGTGGGGGACATGGCGCTGGGGAGGCAGGGGAATTGGGGGGCAGGAGGAAGCGGGGGACATGGCACTGGGGGGGCAGGGGAATGGGGGGCAGGAGGAAGCGGGGGATATGGCGCTGGGGGGACAGGGGAATGGGGGGCAGGGGAATGGGGGGCAGGAGGAAGTGGGGGATATGGCGCTGGGGGGGGCAGGGGAATGTGGGGGCCAGGAGGAACCGGGGGACATGGCGCTGGGGGGGCAGGGGAATTGGGGGGGCAGCGGGAAGCGGGGGGGCAGCGGGAAGCGGGGGGGCGGCGGGGGGCCCAACCCACCTCCTGCATCTTGCGCTCCTGGGGGCTGATGTGCCGGAGGAGGCCGCTCTCCCGCACGGCCGGCAGGTCCTGCCAGAGGGTGCTGCGGGGGGCGCCGGGGGGGCCCGGGGGGGGCGCCGGGGGGGGCGCCGGGGCGTCGTCCCAGCTGCTCGGGCTGGCGCTATGGGGCAGGGTCTGGCGCTGGATCTCCTTGCGGATGACGGCCTGCCGGTAGGTCTGGTACAGGGGCTCTGGGGGGGGGGGGAAAGGGGTCAGGCTGCCCCCCATTCGCCCCCACCCCACCCCGGGGCCCCAATCCCCTCCCCCAGCCCCGTGCCCTTGCCCCAGGACCCTTCCTGCCCCGATCCCCATACCCGGGAATCCCCCCCCCGCCCCGCAGCCCCTCCTCCCCCCCCCTCCGCCAGCGCCCCCCCGGCACAGCCCCCCCTTACCGTCCTGCAGGGGCAGCCCCCAGCCGGGGCCCTTCGGGGATGGGCAGCACCTGTGGGGGGAGGGGGGGGGGTGGAGGGGGGGAGGGGGGAGGGCGGAGGGGGGGCGGGGGGAGGGACAGACGGGGGGCATGGGGGGGGGGGGGGGGGACAGACGAGGGGCTGCGGGGGGGGTGGACAGAAGGGCTGGGGGGCAGAGAGACAAACAGGGGGGCTGGAGGGCAGACGGACGGAGAGGTGGCGGGGGGCAGGGGGACAGACGGGGGGGACAGAGGGGCGGGGGCGAGCGGGGGGGGTGCGGGGGGCGGACAGAAGGGCTGGGGGGCAGAGAGACAAACGGGGGGCTGGAGGGCAGACGGACGGAGAGGTGGCGGGGGGCAGTGGGACAGACGGGGGGCGGACAGAAGGGCTGGGGGGCAGAAAGACAAACCGGGGGGCTGGAGGGCAGACGGACGGAGAGGTGGCGGGGGGCAGGGGACAGATGGGGGGCTGGGGGGGACACAGACCTGTCCCTCGGCGGCTCTGGCTCCGGACTGTGGCCATCCGAGTCTCCTGGGGACACGGAGTGTGGGGTCAGTGGGGCTGGGGGGACCTGCCCCCCCGAGCCAGCCCCGCTCCTGGCTCCCCTCCCACACTCCAAACCCACACCCCACCCGGGGAACCCCGATCCCAGCATCCCCACAACGAGGAAATGCAGCCCCCCCTCTCCAGTCCGGACCCCCCCCCCCCCCTCCCATGGGGCAGCCGGGACCCAGGATTCGGGGCGTGGACGGACCCTGGTCCCCGGGCCGTACCTTGGCGGGGTTCGTCCCCCGGCGCCGGGGCGTGCTCCTTCTGCGGGGGCGGGGGAGGCTGGGAGGCGGGCGGCGGGGGGCAGAGCTTGGCGGGGGGCGGGGGAGGCTGGGTGGGGGGCGGCGGTAGGGAACATGTCTTGGCAGGGACTTGGGGGCCTGGGGCAGGCTGGGCAGGGGGCGGGGATGGGGGGCGCGCTTTGGCAGCGATTGGGGGTTTGTGGGGGGGCTGGGCAGGCGGGGGTGGGGGGCACGGTTTGGCAGGGACTGGAGGGGCTTGGGAGGGGGCAGAGGATGGGGGGCAGCTGTCCCCCCGCTCTGGCTGCCAGGAGCCGAGCCCTGTGCCCTGTGTCCCGCGCAGGGGCTTCGCCGGGGTCTTGGGGGGCACGGCCGGGGGGGGCCGGGCCGCCTCGGGCGCCCCCCCCTTGGCCCGCCGGGGGGGCTTGGCCAGCGCCGGGCCCCCGTTGAGCTGGGCCGTGGGGCGGTAGCTGGTCAGAACCACGCTGCCGTCCTCGGGGGGCGGGGCGGGGGCCTTGAGGGGGGACCAGCGGGACTGGGGGGCGGGGGTGACCTCCAGGAGGCGCCGGAAGAGGGGGCCCTCCTCGTCGGTGGAGGCGGAGCCGTCCGAGCCTGGCTCCTCCCCCTCGGGGGCCGGCACCCAGGCCAGCACCATGCCGGGCCGGTGCCGATGGCAGCCGCAGGGGCAGCGTGGGGGGCAGGCGCCCGGGGGCTCCGGGATGGGGGGCTCCCCCCCGGCGTCCGGGCACCGACCTGCAGGGGGAGAGAGAGAGAGACGGGGTGAGGGGGGGGGCCTGTCACGCGATGCCCCACACGCCCCGGGGGCGCCCCAAGCCAGACTCACCGAGCTCCGTCCCCGGGGGGGGCCGGGCCCCATTCTCCAGCGGGGGGCTGGGGGCCCGGCCCCCACCCGCCCGGTGCTCAAAGCGCCCCACGATCTTGCGGACGTTGCCCGGGCGCTGCGCCCTGCCGGGGGGCGCATCCAGGCAGGGGGCCGGCAGGGGGGCGGCCTCCGGGCTCGGCAGCCCCAGGTCCTGCTGGGGGGCCAGGCAGGGCCGCGACCGGGAGGGGGGCCGTGGCTTGATGATGCGGGTGGGCTTCTGGGTGGGGGGCAGGGCGGGGGGCAGGGGGTCCATCGATGACATGGTCACCTGCAGGGGGGAGAGAGACGTGCTCAGGAGATGATGCAGCTGCCTCTGGGGCGGGGCGCAGGGGACCCGGGGCCCCCTCGCCCGGCCCCGAGACGCGGCCACCTCTGGGGCGGGGCGCAGGGGACCCGGGGCCCCCTCGCCCGGCCCCGAGACGCGGCCACCTCTGGGGCGGGGCGCAGGGGACCCGGGGCCCCCTCGCCCGGCCCCGAGACGCGGCCACCTCTGGGGCGGGGCGCACAAGTCAGCAAACAAATTTGGAACAGGAAACGCAGGGTAAAGGACCAAGGCAGCTGCCGGGGGGGGGGAGGGAACCTGGGTAGGACGCCAGGGTCCACACCCAGCTGATCCCAGAAAAAGCAAGAGTAGCCCCGGCCACTCCCGCACTCTACCCCATAGCCCCCATTCCCCTCCCAGAGCCAGGGAGAGAACCCAGGAGTCCGGGCTCCCAGCCCCCCCTGCTCTGACCCACCAGCCCCCACTCCCCTCCCAGAGCCAGGGAGAGAACCCAGGAGTCCGGGCTCCCAGCCCCCCCTGCTCTGACCCACCAGCCCCCACTCCCCTCCCAGAGCCAGGGAGAGAACCCAGGAGTCCGGGCTCCCAGCCCCTCTGCTCTAACCCCCCACTCCCCTCCCAGAGCCGGGGAGAGAACCCAGGAGTCCTGGCTCCCAGTCCCCCCTGCTCTGACCCACCAGCCCCCACTCCCCTCCCAGAGCCAGGGAGAGAACCCAGGAGTCCGGGCTCCCAGCCCCTCTGCTCTGACCCACCGCCCCCACTCCCCTCCCAGAGCCAGGGAGAGAACCCAGGAGTCCAGGCTCCCAGCCCCTCTGCTCTGACCCACCGCCCCCACTCCCCTCCCAGAGCCAGGGAGAGAACCCAGGAGTCCGGCTCCCAGCCCCTCTGCTCTAACCCCCCCACTCCCCTCCCAGAGCCAGGGAGAGAACCCAGGAGTCCGGGCTCCCAGCCCCTCTGCTCTGACCCACCGGCCCCCACTCCCCTCCCAGAGCCAGGGAGAGAACCCAGGAGTCCTGACTCCCAGACCCCCCTGCGCTAACCCACTACCCCCCACTCCCCTCCCAGAGCCAGGGAGAGAACCCAGGAGTCCAGGCTCCCAGCCCCTCTGCTCTGACCCACCAGCCCCCACTGCCTCCCAGAGCCAGGGAGAGAACCCAGGAGTCCTGACTCCCAGCCCCCCTGCTCTAACCCCCCACTCCCCTCCCAGAGCCGGGAGAGAACCCAGGAGTCCTGGCTCCCAGTCCCCCCTGCTCTAACCCACCAGCCCCCACTCCCCTCCCAGAGCCAGGGAGAGAACCCAGGAGTCCGGGCTCCCAGCCCCTCTGCTCTGACCCACCAGCCCCCCACTCCGCTCCCAGAGCCAGGGAGAGAACCCAGGAGTCCGGGCTCCCAGCCCCTCTGCTCTGACCCACCAGCCCCCCACTCCCCTCCCAGAGCCAGGGAGAGAACCCAGGAGTCCTGACTCCCAGACCCCCCTGCTCTAACCCACTACCGCCCACTCCCCTCCCAGAGCCAGGGAGAGAACCCAGGAGTCCGGGCTCCCAGCCCCTCTGCTCTGACCCACCAGCCCCCACTCGTCTCCCAGAGCCAGGGAGAGAACCCAGGAGTCCTGACTCCCAGCCCCCCCTGCTCTAACCCCCCCACTCCCCTCCCAGAGCCGGGGAGAGAACCCAGGAGTCCTGGCTCCCAGCCCCCCCTGCTCTAACCCACCAGCCACCACTGCCCTCCCAGAGCCGGGGAGAGAACCCAGGAGTCCTGGCTCCCAGCCCTGCCCGCCCCCATATTTCCACATGGCTCACCAGGGGCCGGCCTCTTGGCACAGCCCAGGGCAGGCGGGGAGGGACGGTGCCAAGGGAGAAGCAGGTGCCCGCCCCCCCCAGGACACAGAGAAAGGAGCACCGGGGGGGGGGAGGACTCAGCGGGGAGCGGAGGGGGGATCTCCCCTCACACCCAGTGCATCTGTCTCCGCCCCACACACTTCCTCCCCGGCCCCGCCCCACCCCGGCTAGTCCCGGCCCAGCTGCCAGGGTTAAATTTGGCCTGGATTCCCCAGTTGCTGGCCCAGCCAGGAGCCCTCCCCACCCCCACCCTGGCCCACCCCCCACCAGCCCCCCACTCCCCTCCCAGAACCAGGGAGAGAACCCAGGAGTCCGGGCTCCCAGCCCCCCCTGCTCTCACCCACCAGCCCCCCCTCCCCTCCCAGAGCCGGGGAGAGAACCCAGGAGTCCTGGCTCTCCCCATCCTCATCCTCTCTCCCACATTCTCCCGGGGGGGACGGGGGGGGGGTGAACTCAGGGCTGGTGCAGCTGTTGGGATATTTCTAGCCAACCATGTGAGTGGGGGGTTGTGGGGCTGAGCTGGATAATATAGATGGGGAGTGGCAGTGGGGTCTCGTGGCTGGAATGGCGGGGAGGGGCTTGGGAGCCAGGACTCCTGGGTTCTGTCCCTCTTCCATTCCCTGGGGACCTCTGTCCATCTGTCAGTGCCTCAGTTTCCCAGATATCAGTCCCCACATCGGGGAGAATCACCCCCGGGGGCCAGCAGTGCGGGGCCCATGACACACGGCGGGGCGCTCGACTCTGTGGGAAGCAGGGGGGCTAGGAATCGGTCTGCAATGCGGAGGGGGCTTGCCCCCCCTTCAGGCTATACACAGAGTGGGCGGTGAACCGGGCTAGTGGTTGGAAAAGGCTGCTCCCCCCCCCCAGCTCAGAGCCAGGGCCCCCATAGTCCCCCCCAACCCCCTCCCGGCTCTGGGCCGGCCCCCTCTCTCAAAGGCCCTTTGTGCAGGCGGCCGGCCGGGAACTCCAGCCAAGCCGCCGGCTCCCCACCGGCCCCGGTGACTCAGCGGGGCTCGCACAGGGCCCCTTTGTACCAGGAGAGCCGCCCTCAGCAGCCGGGCGCGCGGAGAATCGCCCTCAGCCTGGGGCAGTACGGGGCCAAGGTGCCACACAGCCCCAGTGCCACCCACGGGCTGATGGGAGCCAGGACTCCTGGGTTCTCCCCACTGAAGCCTGCCAAAGCAAAGCCCCCCCCCGTCCCAGTAGGGAGGAGAGGGAGCCCTGGGGGGTGTAGATTGCCAGCTGGGGGGGTGGGGAGGAGGATGCAGGGACACCCCCCATGCCCTGGCCCAGCGGGGAGGGGAAGTGCGTCTTTCCGCAGCCAGGAAATGGTAAATCCAGAGGAAGGGCAGGAATTTCCGAGGGGGGTGAGGGGAAGAGTTGCCCTGCCGTCTCCCAGCTCCACGTTATACGAGCGCTAAGGAACCCATTCAGGGAAACTGAGGCAGGGGGAGGGGATGGGACTGAGCTAAGTACACAGAGCTGGGGATAGAACCCAGGAGTCCGAGCACCCAGCTGTCCTCCCCCGCTCCCCGGCTCTAATCACTAGACCTCAATCCCCGCCCAGAGCCAGGAATAGAACCCAGGAGTCCTGGCTCCCAGCCCCGCCCCCCCCGCTCTAACCACTAGACCTCGCTCGTTCTCTGCCCCCAGGGGGCTGCGGTGTCTCACTGAGCTTCCTGGCGGGACTAATTTATCCCTGCTGAGCCCCCTGCCCCCCGCCACATCCTTCCGCCCCCCCCAGCTACATCCTCTCCCTCCCTTCCCCCCCCACACTCCACACACGCAGCTTTGGGTCCCCCGGCTCCTACAGAGGTCCTCCGCGCTCGTGGCTGCCCCCTGCCGGCCGCGCTCGAGGCTGCACGGTGTGTATCTTAGACCCCGTAATGCCTGAGGGGGATTCCCCGCCTGCTCTCTGGGAGCTGCGCTGGGGCTGTCTGGGCCCTGTTATCCCCGGACAGGCTGTGGGGAGCCCTGAGGAAGGGGCACCGCTCCGGCACTGGGCTGCCCGGGGGTCAATCAGCTGGAGGGGGGAACGTCGCCCTGTCCCGTAGGCTGAGACCCGGAGCGGGGAACCCACAGCCCCAAGCCTAGTGCTGCTGTGAGTGTCTGGAGAGCAGGGGAGCCCGGATGCCTGGGTTCCATCCCCTGGTCTGGGAAGGGAGGGGGGGTCTAGTGGTTACTGCGGGGGGAGGCCCTGGGACCAGGACTCCTGGGTTCTCTCCCCAGCTGTGGGAGGGGAGTGGGTTCCAGTGTTTAGAGTGGGGGGGGGCTGGGAGCAGGACTCCTGGGTTCTCTCCCCAGCTCTGGGAGGGGTGTGGGGCCTAGTGGTCAGAGCAGGGGGAAGGGGCCTGGGAGCCTGGGTTCTATTCCTGGCTGGCATAAGATTTCCTCCCTACCAATTGGGACTGCCAGTCCCGCCCCCCCTCCCCACTTTCCTGTGGGGCACGGCCCCAGGGGGCAGTTTCACTTACTGCCTGGGGGGATCCGTGCCTGGAGGCTCAGGGGGTCACTGCCAGGAGAAGGGGGGAGGCCTGGCCCTTGGGGGCAGAGACCCAGGAACTCACTAGGATACAAAGGCTGGAAGGGGAATGTGTGGGGAGAGAACCCAGGTGTCCGGCCTCCCAGACCCCCCCTGCTCTGACCCACCAGACCCCACTCCCCTCCCACAGCTGGGGCGAGAACCCAGGAGTCCTGGCTCCCAGGCCCCCCTGCTCTGACCCACCAGGTCCCACTCTCCTCCCAGAGCCCTGGAGAGAACCCAGGAGTCCTGGCCCCCAGCCCCCCTGCTCTGACCCACCAGGCCCCACTCTCCTCCCAGAGCCCTGGAGAGAACCCAGGCGTCCTGGCTCCCAGGCCCCCCTGCTCTGACCCACCAGGTCCCACTCTCCTCCCAGAGCCCTGGAGAGAACCCAGGAGTCCTGGCTCTCAGGTCCCCCTGCTCTGACCCACCAGGTCCCACTCTCCTCCCAGAGCCCTGGAGAGAACCCAGGAGTCCTGGCTCCCAGGCCTCCCTGCTCTGACCCACCAGGCCCCACTCTCCTCCCAGAGCCCTGGAGAGAACCCAGGCATCCTGGCTCCCAGCCCCCCTGCTCTGACCCACCAGGCCCCACTCTCCTCCCAGAGCCCTGGAGAGAACCCAGGCATCCTGGCTCCCAGCCCCCCCTGCTCTGACCCACCAGGCCCCACTCTCCTCCCAGAGCCCTGGAGAGAACCCAGGCGTCCTGGCTCCCAGGCCCCCCTGCTCTGACCCACCAGGCCCCACTCTCCTCCCAGAGCCCTGGAGAGAACCCAGGCGTCCTGGCTCCCAGGCCCCCCTGCTCTGACCCACCAGGCCCCACTCTCCTCCCAGAGCCCTGGAGAGAACCCAGGCGTCCTGGCTCCCAGCTAAGCTAATCCCCAAGGCAATTAGAGCTACAAACCTTCCCAATGCCCCCCAGCACCAGGATTCCCCCTGCTCCCCAGCCTGCCCCCCCCACGCCTGCCTCTGGCTCCCCTCCCCCACCCCTGTACAGAGGGCCCTGGCAGGGTGATGTGGGGTGGGACAGGGGCCACACACCCCACCCCCCCGGTTTCCAACACCCCCTTCCCCTCCCCCCGCAGCTCACCCCAAGCCAGCGGCTGCTTCAGTCCTTCCCCGACATACGCTCGCTTCTTCCGCCCCTATTTCCCGCCCCTGCCCCTCGCGGTGGGGTGGGGCTGGGAGCCAGGACTCCTGGGTTCTCTCCCCGGCTCCGGGAGGGGAGTGGGGGCTGGTGGGTTGCAGCAGGGGGGCTGGGAGCCAGGACTCCTGGGTTCTCTCCCCGGCTCTGGGAGGGGAGTGGGGGCTGGTGGGTTAGAGCAGGGGGGGCAGGGAGCTAGGACTCCTGGGTTCTCTCCCTGGCTCTAGGGGGCCTAGTGGGTTAGAGCAGGGGGGGCTGGGAGCCAGGACTCCTGGGTTCTCTCCCCGGCTCTGGGAGGGGAGTGGGGGCTGGTGGGTTAGAGCAGGGGGGGCTGGGAGCCAGGACTCCTGGGTTCTATCCCCGGCTCTGGGAGGGGAGTGGGGCCTGGTGGGTTGCAGCAGGGGGGCTGGGAGCCAGGACTCCTGGGTTCTCTCCCCGGCTCTGGGAGGGGTACGGGGGCTGGTGGTTAGAGCAAGGGGGGTTGGCCTGGCCCTCTCCCTGTCTCCAGCCCACAGCCCTCTCCGGGCTGAGGGAATCGGTCTCCGGCCTCGCTGGGTGCCAGGACTCCTGGGTTCTCTCTCTGCCCCTCCAGTGCATCTGGTCTCCAGCAGAGACGGGGGAAGTTGGAGACCCAGAGACCCCAGCCAGCCAGTGAGACCCCCCCGCCCCCACTTCCCAGCCAGCACCATCACTTAGAGCCCGGCCTCCCTGGGGGACCCCGGTGTCCGACTGGAGAGGGGCGCCTGGCATGGGGCAGCGTGGCACGGAGGGGCCTAGCTCCTTCCAGGGGGGCGTTGGGGGAAAGCACATATAATGAGGGGGGGTGCACGGGATGGGGGGGACAGGAATACACCCCCTCTAGCCTTCGGTCCTCCCACTCACAGCTGGCAGGGCCCGTCTGAACCACCGGGCCCAGACCCGCTCCCAGCGCTCCTGAAATGCGGCCACCTCTGGGGTGGAGAAGAACAGGGCTGGGACAGCCCACAGCAACACTGGGGGTGGAGAGAGGAGACTGCCAGGGGGAGCGCGCCCCACAGCACAGCCCCCCCACCCCGCCCCCAGCACGGCACCTGGGGCCTCGGGGCCAGCCCTGAAACACAGGAAGAAACTTTCCTTCCTGTGTCAACACCTGAGGTCCTGAGACACCTTCTGCTCCCGGAGCCAGGTGTGCCAGCCCGAGAGCCCCACACCCACCTTGCCCCCGCCCCACCCGCTTGGCGCGGGCCTCCCTTCCCTTACTGCCGGGGAGGTTATTTCGGCCTTGCCAGCCCTGGGGTGAGAACGCCACCCTGGAGACCTCCGGGCTGGAGAGGGAGAGGATAGAACCCAGGAGTCCTGGCTCCCAGCCCCCCTGCTCTAACCCACTAGGCCCCACTCCCCTCCCAGAGCCGGGGAGAGAACCCAGGAGTCCTGGCTCCCAGCCCCCCCTGCTCTAACCCACTAGGCGCCACTCCCCTCCCAGAGCCGGGGAGAGAACCCAGGAGTCCTGGCTCCCAGCCCCCCTGCTCTAACCCACTAGGCCCCCACTCCCCTCCCAGAGCCAGGGAGAGAACCCAGGAGTCCTGGCTCCCAGCCCCCTGCTCTAACCCACTAGGCCCCACTCCCCTCCCAGAACCGGGGAGAGAACCCAGGAGTCCTGGCTCCCAGCCCCCCTGCTCTAACCCACTAGGCCCCACTCCCCTCCCAGAACCGGGGAGAGAACCCAGGAGTCCTGGCTCCCAGCCCCCCTGCTCTAACCCACTAGGCGCCACTCCCCTCCCAGAGCCGGGGAGAGAACCCAGGAGTCCTGGCTCCCAGCCCCACTTCGTGCAAAGGTACCTGCCCCCAGACGAAGCTCCTTCCCCATTCCCTGAACACTGAGATCCCCGACTCATTTCATGTCTCTCACTTCCTCGTTCACCGGCTCTGGCGACCCCCAGACGCTGACGCTGTGGGGCTGGCTCGGACGAGCCCCATCCCGTTAGGAGCCGGCATGCCTGGGTGCTCCCCCAGAGGAAACGCAGAGAAGGCCTGGGGACCCCTAATGACAGGGCCAGCAGCTGCCCCCCTCCCCGCCCCCCGCAGCCCAGCGCCCCCTGCCGAGCCCCCCCTGCTCCCCACAGCCCAGCCCCCCCCTGCTGCCCCCCCCGCCCCCCACAGCCCAGCAGCCCCTGCTGAGCTCCCCCTGCTCCCCACAGCCCAGCCCCCCCCTGCTGCCCCCCCCGCCCCCCACAGCCCAGCGGCCCCTGCTAAGCCCCCCCTGCTCCCCACAGCCTAGCCCCCCCTACTGCCCCCTCCCTGCCCCCCGCAGCCCAGCCCCCCTCTTGCCCCCCACCCTGCTCCCCACAGCCCAGTGCCCCCTGCAGAGCCCCTGCCCCGCTCCCTGCAACCCAGTGCCCCCTGCTGCCCCCCACCCTGCCCCCCACAGCCCAGCGGCCCCTGCTGAGCCCCCCCTGCTCCCCACAGCCTAGCCCCCCCTACTGCCCCCTCCCTGCCCCCCGCAGCCCAGCGCCCCCTGCTGCCCCCCACCTCACCCCCTGCAGCCCGGCGCCCCCTAGCGATTCCCTGGCTGCCCGGGGAGACCCCACGTCTGGAGGGGAGCCCCAGGACCCCTCAGCCCACAGGGACCCACGGGAGCAATGGGGCGGGCTGGGGGGCAGCTAGGGACATCTGCTGAGCCGTGCTGGGGGCCCGGGCTGGATGCTGGGTCCGGGGGGCTGGGCAGGAAACAGCCCCCGCCCAGCAGCGCACTGCGGACGCGTCCCCGCCGCCCCCCTTGTCCCCCGGGGCTCGGGCTGCGGCTGCAGACCCGGCTCTGCGGCGCCACCCACCTTCGGTCGCCTTCACGGGCGCACGGTCCCCCCCGGGGCGCAGGATCCGGGGCGCACGGTCCCCCCCCGGGGATGTAGGATCCGGGGCGCACGGTCCCCCCTGGGGCGCAGGATCCGGGGCGCACGGTCCCACCCTGGGGCGCAGGATCCGGGGCGCACGGTCCCCCCCGGGGCGCAGGATCCGGGGCGCAGGGTCCCTCCCTGGGTGCGGATCCGCGTCCCCCCTGGGTGCAGGATCCGGGGCGCACGGTCCCACCCTGGGGCGCAGGATCCGGGGCGCACGGTCCCACCCTGGGGAGCAGGATCCGGGGCGCACGGTCCCTCCCTGGGGAGCAGGATCCGGGGCGCACGGTCCCACCCTGGGCGCAGGATCCGGGGCGCACGGTCCCCCCCCGGGATGTAGGATCGGGGCCCACGGTCCCTCCCTGGGGATGTAGGATCCGGGGCGCTCCGGGCCCGGGCCCGGGCCGCTGGGTCCCGCCCGAGGATCCGGGCTCAGCCGCCCTTTGTCCCGCACACGCCGCCGGGCTGCTGCAGGCGGCCGCTGCCTGCGCTCGGGGCAGGCGCCGCCGCCTCCATGTGACCGGCCCGGGATGGGGGGCGGAGCCGGGATGTGGGGGGACGGGGGGGCGGGGAGAACATGACTGGAGTCCCGGCTCCCGGCCTGGGACGGAACCGGCAGCGCCCCCAGACTGGCAGCAAGACCCCCACCGCATCCTGGCACCGCGCCCCCCCAGCCTGGCACCGCGCCCCCTGCCTGGTACCGCGCCCCCAATCTGGCACCGCGCCCCCCAGCCTGGCACCGCGCCCCCTGCCTGGTACCGCGCCCCCAGCCTGGCACCGCGCCCCCCACCTGGCACCGCACCCCCATCCTGGCACCGCACCCCCCACCTAGCACTGCACCCCCATCCTGGCACCGCACCCCCCCACCTGGCACCACACCCCCATCCTGGCATCACGCCCCCCTGCCTGGTACCGTGACCCCCACCTAGCACTGCACCCCCAGCCTGGTACCGCGCCCCCATCCTGGCACCGTCCCCCCACCTGGCACAGCCCCCCCAGCCTGGCACCGCGCCCCCCTGCCTGGTACCGTGCCCCCATTCTGACACCGTGCCCCCATCCTGGCATGGCACCCCCATCCTGGCACTGTGCCCCCCACCTGGCACCGCACCCGCAGCCTGGCATGGCACCCCCATTCTGGCACCGCGCCCCCATCCTGGCACCGTGCCCCCCACCTTGCACCACGCCCTCCTGCCTGGCACCGTCCCCCCCACCTGGCACCGTGCCCCCAGCCTGTCATTTCTGGTGAGCCGCCAACCACACCCCAGGCCCTCTGCTCCCCGGCCGGCCTTTGCCCCCTTTATCTCCGGGTGTGGCTGGCGGGGAAGGCGGCTGAAGCGCTCACCCATGTGTCCTAGGCCCCACACTGCACCCAGAGCAGCGATTCTCCTCCCTCCCAAGGGCTTCCCCAGCTCCCCCCCCGGCCTGGTGGGGAGCCCAGCAGGGGGCGCCGTGCTGTGGGCAACGGGGCGGGGCGCTCAGCAGGGGGCGCTCTCCCCTAGGCGCCAGGGCGGCGCTAGGGGGCGCTGTTGCTAAAGGGGGCCCGGGGCGGCAGGAGCCACGTGACTGTCCCCCGCGGGCCTGGGGCGCCTGTGGCCACACTGAGCATGCGCACGCGGGCCGAGCCTGCGCAGCGACCTCGGCTGACGCCGCTGCCCTTCTCCCTGCCCGCCCTTGCGCCCGGGGCTGGGGGGCCGCTGGGGGGGCGGGGCGGAGCAGGGCGCTGGGCAGGGGGGGTCCGGCAGCCGGAGGCGGGGTCAGGAGGGGGGCAAACTCCGGGTGGGGGGGGGCATTCCCTCTGTTCCACGTCCAGACGCCAGGGGGCGCTGGGGCTGCAGGGACCGGGGGGGGCAGCAGGGGGCGCTGGGCTGCAGGGACCGGGGGGGCAGGGGGGGGCAGCAGGGGGCGCCGGGTAGCAGGGACCGGGGGGGGGGCAGCAGGGGGCGCCGGGTAGCAGGGACCGGGGGGCAGCAGGGGGCGCTGGGCTGCAGGGACTGGGGGGGCAGCAGGGGGCGCCGGATAGCAGGGACCGGGGGGGCAGCAGGGGGCGCTGGGCTGCAGGGACTGGGGGGGCAGCAGGGGGCGTGGGGTAGCAGGGACGGGGGGCAGCAGGGGGCGCCGGGTAGCACAGAGCGGGGGGCAGCAGGGGCCGTGGGGTAGCAGGGACCGGGGGCAGCAGGGGGCGCTGGGCTGCAGGGACTGGGGGCAGCAGGGGCGCCGGGTAGCAGTGACCGGGGGGCAGCAGGGGGCGCTGGGCTGCAGGGACCGGGGGGCAGCAGGGGGCGTGGGGTAGCAGGGACCGGGGGGGCAGCAGGGGGGGGGGGGGGGGGGGGGCAGGGGGGGGTGCAAGGGGGGGGCAGCAGGGGGCGCTGGGCTGCAGGGACTGGGGGGCAGCAGGGGGCGCCGGGCTGCACAGAGCAGGGGGCAGCAGGGGGCGCTGGGCTGCAGGGACCGGGGGCAGCAGGGGGCGTGGGGTAGCAGGGACTGGGGGGGGCAGCAGGGGGCGCCGGGTAGCACAGAGCGGGGGGGGCAGCAGGGGGTGCTGGGCTGCAGGGACTGGGGGGGGCAGCAGGGGGCGCCGGGTAGCAGGGACCGGGGGGGCAGCAGGGGGCGCTGGGCTGCAGGGACTGGGGGGGGCAGCAGGGGGCGTGGGGTAGCACAGAGCGGGGGGGGCAGCAGGGGGTGCTGGGCTGCGGGACTGGGGGGGCAGCAGGGGCGCCGGTAGCAGGGACCGGGGGCAGCAGGGGGCGCTGGGCTGCAGGGACTGGGGGGGGCAGCAGGGGGCGTGGGGTAGCAGGGACGGGGGGGGCAGCAGGGGGCGCAGGGCAGCGAGGGGGGGCGGGTTGAACGAGCCCTGTCCTAACAGCCGAAAGCCCGGGCCCCGACAATGGACAGACCCCGGTGCTGGTTGTCTCCAGTCCCTTTATTCGGCCCCGGGGGTGGATCCACAGTGGTGCCCAAGGGGGCTGAGCCGTGGGTCCCACGCAGGGCTTGGCCACCCCCGAGCTGGGGGGGGAGGGCTGTGCTTCAGGAGCAATAGCAGCCCCCACCCCAGAGGTGGCCGCATCTCCGCAGCGGGTGAGGGATTCCCCCGCCCCGCCCCAGAGGCAGCCGTGTCTTGGGCCTGGGAGCAGGGGAAGCCCCACGGAGAGCGTGGGGTGACGGGACAGGCAGTGGGGAGGAGTTGAGACTGGGTGGGGCTCGGCTCCCACAGGCCCACAGAGCATCTGGCCTGCGGCGTTCGGTGGCCCAGCAAGGAAACAGGGCACACGTGGAATTGGCTTCCTGAGTCTGCAGAGAGCCTGAGGCCGTCGCTCCCTGGGGCATGACCTGCCCTGGATGAGACCCCAGGGTGCCCTCGGTGTGGCGGGTGCGAGGACCAGGCGCTGTGCAGCAGACCCTGCCGCGGGGGGGGGGGGGGGCTGTGTGTGACAAAGTGGGAATGTCCTCCATGTTTTGTCTGAAGACTGGGTGGGTGCCTCAGTTTCCCCCCGGTGTCACTCAAGCGTTCGCGACCCGTCTGGCCGCAGGGGCTGCCAGTTCCTGTGCTCACCAGCTCCGGTCTAGGCTGTCCCCCCCCCGTCTCCGGAACCTGCCAGGCTGGCTGAGAGTCGCGGCCGACTGCGGGGTCGGGGTGCAGGGCCCCTTGGGGGAAGCAGCCAGCGGCACCCCCGTTCAAGGAAGAGGACTGCAGAGCGGGCCAGGGCCGAAGCAGGGCTGGTCGGGGAAGGAAGCGCCGGTCTGGCGGGAGGGGAATGGGAGACAGGCAGGGGCAGTGGGGGGGCTGACAGGTCTCCCCACGCGCACGGGGCGGGCGAGCCCCAGGAAGGGAAGAGCTGGTGACCCCAAAGGCCAGCGTCGGCCCAAGGACACGCCTGCCCCTCACACGTAGGTCCGCAGCCAGTCCCTCGCCTGGCACTCGGGGCCCGGCGGTTGCCCGCAGCCAGGGTCCCTCCTGCTGGCGGCTCCGTGGGCCCGCTGGTGGCTCCGTGGGCCCACTGCCCCGCCCCCGGCGGCGCTGGCCCGGCTTGCCCGTCTCCTCGGCCTCCCGGCAGATCTGCACGGCCCGCGCCAGGCTCAGCCCGTCCTCCCGGAGCAGCCGGGCCCGCACGGCCTCGTCCCGGCAGCCCAGCACCAGCCGGGCCCGCCCCAGGGACTCCCGCCGGGCCCCTGCAGCCGGCTGCGGAAGAGGAAGTGCCGGTAGGTCTTCCCGCGCCCCGGCAGGCAGCGCTCCTGGAGCCGGGCCGGCACCGTGGCCAGCTCGTCCTCCTCCCCCGGCAGGGCCATGGCCGCTGGCAGGAGCCCGCAGCCCCCGGCTCCCTTTATCCCCGCGCGCCGGTGACTCAGGGCAGGCCCCGGGCAGGCAGGTGGCGTGGGCCGTGCCCGCCGGGGGTGACTCACCCCTCCCGTGACGGGCGTGACGTGAGCCCCGCGAGCTGCTGCCCGGGCGCGTCCCACGCCGGCAGGGTGCACGTGGGAGAACTGCCCCGGGTACCCCTGCCCCCAATCCAGAGGGAGGGGAGGAGGAAGTGGGTGGAGCCATGGGGAAGGAAGGGAGACGGGGGGCCAGGGAACACGGGGGTGAGGTTGAGGGCATCGGCCAGGGCTGAGGCCCTTGGTAGCCGCTGGACTTGTTGTCTGGGCCCAGGCTGCCTGCCCACCCATCGCCCCCCACCCTGCCCCACCAGCCTGGTGGCGTTGAGTCTCCCCCTGCCCTGAGGAGCCCGTCCCTGAGCCCTGTGGGATGAGCAAGGCTGCGCCATGGGAGACTGGCTCCTTTCTGCCCCTGGGGCGCAGCCGTGGGCTCTGCGCTCCAGCTCACTCGTCCCTGGGAGGGAGGCCCCCCGAGGGGGTGCTGAGCCCAACCCCTCCCATCTCAGACAGGAGGGTTGTGGGGAGACTCCCCCGGCCGGTGGGCCACGGAGAGGATGGGGAGACGGTTACACCATGTAGTCTGCACGTGGGAGGAAATAAACCTTCCTGACCCCTGCAGAGGGTGGCCCTGAAGCATGAGAGTGGAGGGGAGCCAGGCAGCGCTGGGCAGGCGTCTCACTGCCCCCTGGCTGGCCGGCCTGGCAATGAACAGAATAATTGCTCGGGGTGGAACCAGGCGCTTCTGAATTTTGGGGGACTCAAAATGGCC